GGAGGAGATCAAACCTTCAACAAAGTGCCAAAACCCTAGAATCCCTCGAGCAAACCCAACTAAACCCGAACAAAACGGAAGTGAGAACAGGTTGAAAAGCAATTTGGAAGGGATTTGGAGGGGTTTTTGAATGCAAAGAAGCGGAAAAAATGAGGTTGAAAAGGCCCGAGTATCGGGTTTTAAAGACCCTAGCCCTGACTGTTCGCCTTCGTGCGAGACAGTTGTAACTGTCTCGCACTTCTGAGATAGTCATAACTATCTCGCCCTTCCAAGACAGCTACAACTGTCTTGGACGAAGGATCAACCCTACGCGTTTTCGAGACAGTTACAACTGTCTCGAAAGAAGGGATGACCCAATATGTTGTCGGTCTCATCCGTGAAGCATTCTCGATCCATTTTTAATACATGTGCACACTCCGATGAGTATATGAGTATAAATTGTATCTCCTTGAACCTCCCAACGGGTATACGAGGTTAAACTATTTCCCGATAACTCCGAGGAGTACACGAGTATAAACTGATTCCCCACGCTCCAACACCTCAAGAGCCTAAACTGTGTGGACTCCAATTAACGTATGAGTATAAACTGTGTTTCTATCGCAATGAAGGTCGACGCCAGTAAAAACGTCGATAACTTTGCCAAAACAAGGCTTAGATCAATTCCAAGTTGCAGGATAATCCCTGAGAGTTCATACATAATTCAGATACGAACTTTCGAACAGGATGAGTAGTTCATCGTCGATTCACGACACGAGATAAATTTAGCAATCAACATAACAACTTCAGTTCAAGATTTCGACAACGATCAAGCGATAAATGCAGCACCGGGAAAATTTCAGCTATCCGACAAAAACTGAATAGACTGAAATATGGAAAAGTCAACGAATCAAAGTAGGAGTGTATCATATCCAAAGTATTCCAGACTCCTCTATGAAAGATTGAGGCTGAAACACTTTGGAGGGGGTATCTGTAGACATTAAAAATTACCTATAGATTATCATACGTAGCTCAAGATAGAGAGAATGCGATAAACGTCATCATCTGAATTGCAAAGGATCATCCAAAGCTAAAGATCAACTAAAGAATGCACAAGAAACGCATCACACAAGTTTCGAGGCGCAGAACATGTCTCAGAAGCATAAGAGGAACTCACAGTTTCCAAGACAGTTACAACTATCTCTGAAACTAAGAGAAAAATTATAGCTTCTGAGACAGTTACAACTGTCTTAAAAACTAAGAGGAAGATTATAGCTTTCAAGATAGTTATAACTGTCTCGGAAACTATGAGGGAGGCTATAGTTTCTGAGACACTTATAACTGTCTCGGAAGCTAAGATGATACAGATGATGAGTTTTTAGAGATTCGTGTATGCCACGTGGCTCCATAACTGTCAGAGATCGTGTGTGAACATGGGGAGGACGTTACGAGCGAAAGTCACGCTCATAACTGCTGAAATCATGGCATTTAAAGGCGGGAAAAGCAGTTACAGAACGACTGAAAGGAAGCATGCTTCCGAGACAATTATAACTGTCTTGGAAATGGAAAGCCAACCATGCTTCCGAGACAGTTACAACCGTCTAGGAAATAGAAGTTCCTCGACGTGACTTCTTTTTGACTTATGACTTCAGTTATTGTTCCTAAGGGCTATAAATATCCCCTAAGACCATTACTGAGGAGGGGAGAGCATTTTTGAGCAGAGAAAATAGAGAGTTTTGAGCAATTTGGGAAATTTCAAGCACGAAAGAGAGAGTTTTCATCACATGCAAGCCTTTTTCAGAGTTCTTGTGATTCCTTAAGATCTAAGCTTTGACTTGATCTTAAGAAGAGCGTTTATCTTACATCGATAAGATATTTACTTATCTTTTTCTTACTTCTAAACGAAACAAGAATTCTCAAATAGCCTTCACGGTTCAATCTGAATCTGTGATTCAGTGGTCCACGGGATAACGCACCCTCGGCACAGGCAAGATCCCACGCTAGAAGCGATCCAAAATGATCATGCGTGTGTTTCTAAGGAGCATTGTAATTTAATTTTGTTGTAAAGAGTAGTTTTATAAAGCACGAAGCTCACTCTTTTGTATTCATTGTAATCAATAAACAATTATAATGAATTTTGCAACAAAACTTGTTCATGACGTAAACAATTGGAAGTTGCTGAGCTTTCCCTAAATGAACCTGAGATCAAAGCCATTTCTTTTGACTTATGAGCTTAAGTTGTTGGCTAATGCTAGAGACGATTTGATGTTGTGGAAGTGTTTTTTTTACCTTTTATGCACTTGATTTCCATTGGACCTTTGATATTTTGGTTTTCCATTGAACCTTTGTTGAATAACTTTCTAATTTTAATGCACTTGATACAATTGTTTTGGAGAATTTTTTTATGAAATTTTAATATTTTTATTGTCGTATCTCCGTACCCGTGTCGAAATTTAGGACGGTGTCCACGTATCCAAAATTTTCAGAAATTTCGTATTGGACATTCGGATCCGTACCCGTATCGGATACTCGTACCCGAGTCCAGGTAACATTGCCTATCACTCTCCTAGGTTCAGTTTACTTACGTAGTTATTTATTTTAGACTTTTCCTGTAATCACTTGTGGTTCTCTTGACTATGATGTATTTTTCTCTTTCTTACATTGGTAGTTGTGGACATGTAAGAGAACCCTGTCTTTTTCAGAGATTTCTTTATCTATCTGTTTTTTTTGTTATCTTAGTTACATGCTCTATGTAGTAATTCTTTTGGCAAAACATCTATATACATGATGATCCAGAGGCGTGAATGTGACCGTATGGTTGCATTGTCGGCCGAGTCACACTCCAAAAATATTTAAATTGGAACCGGGTCGTGACAATGGTTCACCTCTGTAGTAATCAATAGAGAAAAATATGAATCATATGAATCATCACTTCTAGCGACATTCACCTCATTGGCTTTTGGGTCCTTCTTCTTGCTATTCTCTTTCTCTCTGAGCTTCGGGCAATCTCTCTTTCAATGTCCTTGTTCTTTACAAAAAGCACACTGGTTCTTCGCTAATTGGTAGTAGCCTCTTGATTTTGACCTGCCTGTATTACCACCTTTCGGATAGGGACTCATTCCTCTCATCGACAATGCCTCTCTTGAAGTGTTAGCTCGGGAAGACTCTTTATCATTCCTCCTCAAATTATAATTCGTTAATGCATTAGTCACTTCACTATAGGTGATGAAAGATCTACCGTTCAACAAAGTGAGTACGAATGTATCATACTCCTCATCGGGTAAGGAGCCTAACAAATTAATTACCTTATACTCATTCAATATCTTCTCATCCACGTTCGCCAAGTCCGACAATAACTTTGTGTAGTTGTTCGCATGAGCCGCAAGTGGGGTACTCCTGGACATCTGGAATCTGAACAATCTTCGCAGCAAGTTCAAATGGTTCTCAACACTCTTCGTAAAATACTTGTTGTTAAGAATCTCCCACATATTCATTGCAGACATCACGCAAATCACATCGTATTTCAGTTCTTGTTCCAAATAATACTTGATCCCCCCACAAGCATTTCAGTTCATCTTGTCCCATACCGTCTCATCATACTTTGGTGACCTCTCATGGACCATGATGGTCTCTTCTAAGTTCTGAGCATTCAACGCGTCCTGCACATCACTCATCCACAACCCAAAGTTGATTTTACCATCACACTTCACAACACTAATCTTCGTATTCTGAAGTGCAATCTGAACTGTACTCGTCATCGTCTTGTTGCTTTCACCAACTTCTTCTCCCATTGCAAACCAACTCTAAATTGTAGAGAAAAGATTTGAAATTTGATAGAATTGAGAAATTACCTAACTAAACCCTAGATAGGGTTCCAACACGATCTCCTAGCTACACAAGGAAAGTAAGATCTCCAATGACAACTCCGCAATGCTATCTCCACTGAAGTCTAGATCTTCAATATCCAAGCTTCCAACAACGAATCTTCCTTCACCCAAAACAAAACCCTAGATCTGAAACCTAGCTCTGATATCAATTATTGCACGGCGGTGGAAGCGTGCGCACGAACCAACACAAGTATAATTCACAAAATAACGGCACAAATCACATAAACACAGAGATTTACGTGGTTTGGCAATTGCCTACGTCCACGGGGAGAAGATGGGGAGATTTTACTATATGAAAGAGAAATACAACGGGTTACAACTCTCACAAACTCTCAAAATTAATTCTAACCAAAGATCTCAACTCCCTCACAATATCTCCCTCTCAAAGTACTCAAACAATTCCAAATTCTCTGATCTAGAAACCCTAAAACGTGTGTTCCTATTTATATCAAAACTCAATCCAAAACAGGCTGGGAAACAACTTTCAGCCTGTATCCGCTTTCGGTCGACTGAACGGGTGCCACCGGTCGACCAGCCAGAAGCTGGTTTTTCTGCCCTGTAATTCAACAACTCATCGATCGACCGGTCCCTTTTGGTCGGTCGACTGACTCGCAAATTTCCTGTATGTGCTAATTTTTCATGTTTTTCTCAATTCTTTCGCCATTTTCTACAAGTATATCTTTCTAAAGATACTGAAACACTATTCTTCTTGCTATAAATAAGAGCCTGTACTCTGAGAAAAATGGCTAGAGTCAAAATGTTCATCATTATTGCTCTAAAATTGATCAATTGAATTTTACCCTCCGGTAAATTTGATCTTTCTATTTCCAAGTTCGAAGGTTCTCATTTTACAGATGCTAATCCATTGTTTCTTAAGAACATTAAATAAGAAGAAAGAATCAATAAAAGTCATACTTCAATCATTTATTTCCCTTTTAAATACAAGACCATATGCATCAAAAACAAAAAAAATTAAATTAAATCACTGGATAAATCAAGGAGAAACCATATCAATACTAAATCTATGTGAAGAAAGTAAATAGTAATAAAAACCATGAATGTCAATTGAAAACCTAACATCTTCTCTACAGTTATAACAATATTTTCTTTAAGTTTACTAAAACAATCAATCACCTTAACTACTAAAATGCAGTATTGAAAACCACAGTTTTACAGTCAAGAAACCACAGTATTGAAAATCACAGTTTTACAATTATGCATATGAATTTTCCAATTTGCAGTATTGAAAACCATAGTTTTTACACTCAAGAAACCAAGCTTAACTCATCATCTTTTCTAGATTAAACGTGTGCTAAGTTTTTCTTAGCTTCCTTCTTCTTAGGGACAACACCTGCAACACTAACTCGAAACATATTACACATTCTCACACTAAGCACATTCTCAATATATGAAGCTCAACCTCATCCTGCGTCCTCGACTCAGACCCGGATTCTTAAAAGTCTTGGTGATATTTGCTACCATGTCATTCATCTTTGTCTGCAAAATTAAAAAGAAATGCAAGATCTTCACATATTGCTTTGATAATATACCAATAATTCAATCACTTATTAATGGAAACATGAACTGGTTTTTGAAAAAACAGAGCTCCATGCATTCTGGTGACCATACAAGTCAAAGTCCTCCTACATGCAAAAAATCATAGAGCATATTATAAAGAGAGAAAATAATAAGAAGTAAGAAAGTCTCTAATTATATACCAGTAGATAGCGCGATGTAACGCAAAGTCAAGGGTTCCAGTCATTGTTCTAGGATTCATATCCTCGCTATTGCAAGAGAATGCAATGGAAGGTCCACTTACTGTTCCATACTTGTCTGATATTTATTTGACAATTCTGATTTTCCTCCAACATTCTGGTTCACATCGAGCGAACATGTGCTTGAACTCGGGTGAGTTTCTGCATCCAATGCAGAGTGATCGCAGTTTGGCACTTGACAACATTGCTATTTGTCAATGCATTCAGTCTAACTAGTACTCTCAAAGCATTAGTTATCTTCCATATTCAACTTCTTCAGAATTTTCCCTTTATCTTATGATATACAACGAACAAGAATCAAATAAGCAAGCGCATTTGAGCAAAAAATCACATCAATTAAATTTATAATAAAAGGAATTCTAGAGAAATAGATCAGAAACTAAAACGATTGTGGAAATTTAGAGATCTCATAATACACATATGAGAAGAAAACAAAAACCCTAGCGTTCTAGCTAGCGTAAATTTTCTAAAAAAAAAAAAAAAATCGATTCATGCATAAATTTGTTTAGAAAACGCACTTAAATAATCTGTTTGATGACGAATTCACGAACTTACTAGAGATCGGATGAGGACAGAGGGTCGAGGGGATCGCTGGGTTTTCATGGTATCAAATCGACCTCGTTCGCGAAATCGAAGAAATCTAGGCTTTCGAGGATCTAGAAAGTTCGAGAGATCTAGGGCCTGGTGGAGGGGATTAGCGAGGGGCAATCCGCGATGGAGAAGGAGATGAGGAGGGGCGATTCGGTTGAGAGGCGATTTGCCCGAGAGGAGAGCAGAGCGATGAGCAGAAAAGATTTTTTTTTTTTAATTGATTATTATTATTTAGCGGTAGGCTTTTCCCCGTTCGCGCTAGAGAAACTGCGAGCGAAGTGATCGGTAAACTTCTGTCCCCTTTTTTTTACCCTTACTTTCATTTCCCCCACTTTATTTAATAAAAGAATAAAAGATGATATTAAACCAAAGAGGAGTGTTTCGCTTTTGTTAATCGATCACGTTTACTCGTATACTAAACAATTACAGATACATAACTTTTTAATACATGTACACACACAAACTATCTTATTTGAAATTTTGGAAAAACACCCTAAACGTTTAAAAATTTGAAAAAAACACCCTAAAAGTTACATATATAATTGCAAAAAATACCATAAAAATCAGAATCTAAAAGAAATACTTGTTTGTAAGTTTTGATCATTTCAGGGTGTTTTCTATAAATTTTGAATCTTTAAGGTTATTTTCATAATTTTTTCCTAAACTTTTAGGGTTTTATCTGCAAATCCTAAAACTTTAGGGGATGTTTGTAATCCTATATATTTGTTCATGTAATTTTTTACAGGTTTGAAAATTTTAAGGTATTTTTTTATATATTCTTTTATTTCTTGAGGTGTCGTCTGTAATTTTAAAACTTCTAGGGTATTTTCTAACAAATTTTAATTGTCTATGAGGCTTTTTATATGTATCATATTTTTTAGTAGGTTGTTTATAAGCTTAATATTTTTATGGGGTTTTTTGTAATTTATGCATTTTGAGTTGAGAGTCGAAGAGATCCTTTTGTGCAAAATTTTATCCCCGATTACTTTATACCATACACAAAAATATTTCTCCCACTAATTGTTCTAGGTGATAATTATCATGTTAAAGTTTAAATCCAATTGCTTTAACCTAATACCAAATGAGCCCTAGTGTTTAGTTTTCCACAGTGTTTCTAATCGGAAATGTTGAATAATTTATTATCATTCTACAATAATTAGGCATCATTTTTCTTGACCTAAATATTCTTAGACTTAATTGAAGCAAACATAATATCGTTAACTGAAGAGATTATAATTTAAAAAAATTGCTCAATCGTTGTAGGAAGGATTAGTAAACTGATCACAAAAAATGCTTCAGTTTTTTTTTCCTTTTTTTTTTAAATTCTTTATTTCTTTCTAGTGTATTATTGGCGTCTATTTTGTTTGAGAAGAAATTAAGGGTAAATGCCCCAAACTATGGGCGGGCTTGTGAAATTTACCCTGTTCTCATAAAAATATTGAGAAAGGAAGAATTGGGTATGGTTGCGTACTTAGCCAAGGACAATCTAAGTTTGTTTTTTTTTCTTATTGTTATTGTATTGGATCAAAAGACAATAATATTTGTTTCTTTAGTTTTGTGACTTACGAGAACATGTTTGAAATTAAAAACACTTCACACAAATGATGCCCTAGAAAACAAGATACTGGAACGTGATTTATGTGTCGAGAACTTCTATGGTTACAAAACAAAGGGAAAGCCTAAATTTGATACCTAGACATGAAATTCCCCATAATTTTCGCCTTCATCTTCATGCAAACGCGAACTACCTTGACCAAGTCTAATCCGAGAAACAACGAAAGGCGCCATGCATGGCTACCAACATCCACAGGCTGAAGACAAATCAAGAAGTTACTGGTCAGGAAGCGAAGCACCAACGGAGAGAGCAAGGTCGCTGATTTTGTAAGCATCGTCTTCTTCTTTAGGCATCAGAGACCTCAGCTTCGACTCGGCCCAAGCATCCATGCACGTGAAGACGTTGAACGATAGCGCGCTCAAACGACTCTTGACCGTGAAAAAATCGCGAGACTTGAGCGCTTCAGTCGTTTCCTTGATGTCCTCAATGCCCATATCGTACACGTCTTCACAGACACCCAGAGCCTTCTTGTTCACCGTTGACACGTCTTTACTGTTCAGCAACTCCTTCACTTCGGCAAGGTTGTGCGTGATGTTGGCGTTCGCTAGGTTGGCTATTATAGAGGTAAGACCTGATTTTTTTTAAAAAAATTTACATTGATGACTATATCGGGAATTAACCCTAAAATTAATAACAGATCGTTGAGGGATTTGAATCCTCAAAAAAAAAAAAAAAAAAATGGAGAAACCACTACTTACTTTTTATCCTCAAAAAAAAAAAAAAAAAAATGGAGAAACCACTACTTACTTTTTATTCTAATCCATTTGATGTTATCTAACGGACGAGATTAAAAGAATGGAGTCATAGAATTCATCGAGCTGAAGAAAGGAGAACAGGGAATTTATATGGGAAACAATATCTATCTCGATGTAGAAGGTATTGGTTCGTATAGATTGGATCTTGGGGACAGCATTCTTGTCCTCAAAGATGTGTTCTATGCGCCAGGAATTCGACGCAATCTGATCTCTGTTCCCAGCTTGATGAAGAAATGACTGGAAGTGAGGTTCTATAATAATAGGGTTTCTATAGGCAAAAATAATAAAGTGTATGCTATGGGTAAATATGTGCCCGAGCATGAATTATGCATTCTTCCAGTAGTTTGTAATAATTCTGATAATAAAATTTCGAATTTGAACTACTTGTCCTGTTATATTTCTGAATCTGAATTGTGGCATTCTAGACTAGGACATGCTAGTATTTCAAAAATGAAAGAAATTATCAGAATGAACTTGCTTCCTGCACTATCTAATGTTCAATTGCCACCATGTGAACATTGTTTAACTGGTAAAATGACTAGAAAACCTTTTATTGGCGGACATAGAGCCAATGAACTTTTAGGGTTGATACACTCGGATATTTGTGGTCCCCTGAGTGTCAAAACTCATAGTAATAAAGAATATTTTATTACTTTCATAGATGATTATTTTAAGTTTGCACACGTCTATCTTATATCCAGAAAATTAGAAGCTTTTGACTGCTTTAAGAGATATAAGACAGAAGTTGAAAACCAACTTGGATTGAAAATCAAAATTCTGAGAACTGATAGAGGTGGAGAATATAATTCTAAAGAATTTGAAAGTTATTGTATTCAGCATGGAATTAAAAGGCATACAACAATGCCGTATACGCCACAACAGAATGGTGTTGCTGAAAGAAAAAACAGAACATTATTAAATGTAGTTAGATGCATGTTGTCTCATTCTGGTCTCTCTAAAAACTTTTGGGGAGAAGCATTGTTAACTGCAAATTACATTTTAAATAGAATTCCCACCAAATCAGTCATATCTACACCTTATGAATTATGGAATGGGAGGAAACCTAATTTGAGTCATCTCAGGAAGTGGGGATCTATAGCCCATGTTCTCATTCCATGTCAACTTAGAGATAAGTTGGATTTTAAAACAATAAAGTGTAGATTCATAGGGTATTCAGAAAAGTCAAAAGGTTATAAGTTCTACAATAAAGAAAAAGGAGTCATTGAAAGCAGAGATGCTACATTTCTAGAGAATCTAGAGGAAGAGGAACAAGTTCAAGAGGAAACAGAACCTCTAACTGTAATAGATGATGATTATTACAGTGTTGTTCCCACTAATGACTCTGATATTATGAATGAACCTAACCTTGAAAATGATGAAATACCTATGGAAAATAATGTACCTAATCAACCAATTGTAGGCAACAAAAGGCAAAGAACACAACCTTCATGGATGGATGATTACTATTTGTATTCATGTGAGTCATCCTGTTTTTCGGTAGATACAAATATAGAAGAACAAGATCCCTTAACCTTTTCTGATGCGATGAAATCGCATGAATCAGCTTCATGGCTAGAATCTATGAGAGAAGAACTTGATTCCATAGAAAAGAACAAGGTATGGGAGTTATGTGATCTACCAGAAAATAGAAAAGCCATAGGATGCAAATGGGTGCTCAAAAAGAAATATCGTGTTGATGGATCTATTGACAAATTCAAAGCACGGTTAGTTGCCAAAGGTTATAACCAGAAGGCAGGAATAGATTTTCAGGAGACGTATTCTCCTGTAGCTAAATTTGCATCCATTAGAATTATTTTGGCTATTGTTGCATATCTTGATTTGGAGTTATTCCAAATGGATGTTAAAACTGCATTCCTTAACGGAGAGTTGAAGGAAGCAATATATATGCAACAACCTGAAGGTTTTCAGGTGAAAGAACAGGAACATAAAGTTTACAAATTAATGAAATCTCTATATGGTTTAAAACAGTCTTCTAGACAATGGTATCTCAAATTTCATGATGCAGTTACTAAACTTGGTTTTATTCAAAATAAATTAGATAATTGTGTATATGTCTTGAAAAGTGGGAGCAAGTTTACTATATTATCCTTATATGTGGATGATATATTGCTCGCTGGAAATGACATAGAAATGTTGAATAAAACCAAGGCAGATCTCAGCGAAAAGTTTGAGATGAAAGACATGGGAGATGCATCATATATTCTTGGAATTCAAATAATTCGAGATAGAAAGTCTAGAATGCTAAGTTTAAACCAAGAAAAATATTTAAGATCAGTTCTTAAAAGGTTTGGAATGGAGAATTCCAATCCGGCACCAACTCCGTTGGTTATGGGAAAGAGATTATGTAAAGAGCAAAGCCCTGGAGAGGGGCAAAAGCCATTAGATGTTCCTTATGCTCAAGCAATTGGAAGCTTGATATATACAATGTTGTGCACCAGACCTGATATAGCTTATGCTGTGAGTCTAGTCAGTAGATATCAAAGTAATCCAGGACCAGCACATTGGGAAGCTGTTAAAAGGATTATGAAGTATATCAGAGGTACATTGACTCATAGATTAGTTTATCAAGCTGATTCGCTTGAACTCCTCGGTTATTCCGATGCTGATTTCGGAGGTGATAAAGATGATGGAAAGTCCACTTCGGGACACTTATTTATCTTTGGAGGAGGAGCTGTTTCTTGGAGTAGCAAGAAACAAGGGTGTGTTGCTAGATATACTCAAGAAGCTGAATATATAGCTTGTAGTATGGCAACTACACATGCTGTCTGGATAAGACGGTTTTTGATTGATCTTGATCTCAATTTGTTAGAAGGACCTATTGATATTTATTGTGATAATCAAGCAGCAATTAGCTTAATCAATAGTGGCGCGAATAGCTCCAAAGGAAAA